GATGAGACAAAATCCTGGGAATTCTTCTGACATCGTTCCTCAGGAGCAAACATCCAGCTGAGATGATGAGCCTGGAGGAAAGCAATGCATGAGCAAAGCTGTGGGATTGCATCGCTGGACGTGCATCCTAAGGGCCATACACAAATACTATTTTACTGCTGGGCAGTGAGGTATGGAGATGCTAAATAATCTTTGCAAGATGACAGGAGGGAGTTACTACAACCCAGAAAGACTAAACCTCCACATCTCAAGTGCTTCTTCAAGACCTTCATCCCAAATATTGTGCATCCTTCCATTATGAGGACACTGAACAACTCTGTGCATATCCCACAGAATCACAGAATGGTGGGGGTTGGAAGGGACCTCTGTGGGTCACCCAGCCCAATCCCCTGCCGAAGCAGGGTCACCCAGAGCAGGCTGCACAGCCCCGCGTCCAGGGGGGGCTGGAATATCTCCAGAGAAGGAGACTCCACAGCCTCCCTGGGCAGCCTGGGCCAGGGCTCTGTCACCCTTAGAGGGAAGAAGTTCTTCCTCATCTTCAGCTGGAGCTTCCTTTGCTCCAGTTTGTGCCCGTTGCCCCTTGTCCTGTCGCTGGGCACCACTGGAAAGAGTCTGGCCCCATCCTGACACCCAGCTCTGTGGATGGCTGCAGAGCCACGGGGAGGTCAGGAAGGCCCCAGCCCCGCGTGGCCCAGGGTTGAGACCATTGGCAATGTCTGTCTGTGCGTCCATCTGTCTGTCAATCCATCCACCCATCCGTCTGGGGTTAAATCCAGCCAGTCCCCACCCATCCCCCAGCCTGGCTGCCATCACATGTCGGTGCCGGCGCTTTAATTCCCGTTATTTATTTATCATCGCAATTGTCTCTGAATTGCTTTGGCAGCCCCTCCGAAGCCTCCTGGCGAGGGAGGGAGGTGTGGGTATATAAATAAAGAAAATAAATACACAAACCCGGTTGAAGGCTCAGGGATCTTTGCTGCCCCAGGCGATGGCACCCATTTGCCGGGGGCAGCTCCCCCAGCCAGGTGCCCCAGGCGTCCCCGGGGGTGACAGGCTGGTTCCCAGGAGGCTCCCATTTGCCCTGGGGAGTTTTCACCCAAGTTGTGGCTTTCTGGCCCGAGAAAGCCAGCGCACACCAGTGCACCTTCGGGGCTGGGGCCAAGCCTGAGCTGGAGATGGCGGCTGTAAGAAAAAAAAGGACTGGAAAAGGGAAAAAAAAAAATAAAAAAAAAAAACCCAAAGATGTTTTAAATTAATTAGTGAT